TGTGCAACTTTTCTTCATCAGTTTCTGATCTTAAAGAATATAATTCTGAATATTTACTATAGAGCAGCTTAATTTTTATGCTGCTCCGTTTTCCTCACCCACGGTGATGGTATTTACTGCAGAAGTTCGGCTTAATTCCCAACTCCATCTAGACATCTTCAATTTGGTATTTTTTCCACAGGTAGTTGATTTAAACCAATGCAAAGTGACCTAAATTGGCTTCAAACAAACAAACAAACAAACTGAAAATGAACCTGCAGTGACCAGACAGTATTTGGCATCAAAATTAAAATACTGGCTCAAGTCGAGTTGAACCAAATTAAGAGTATCAGTAAAAGTTTTTGAAACAGTTTGGCTATACTCAGTTTAATGTTTTACCTGAAGTTAGTGACGCAATTTTGAGTTTAGACAAGGTCTCAGGTGATCTAATCACGGTAAAACTTATATGCAAGATCTCCAAAGTTTTGTGATAAACTATGACTAACATGCCTTATATTTCTGAATATTAAAACCAAGACATAACACAAACACCAGTGATTTATTCTTAACGTGTAAGGGAAGAATATAGACTTCTATGTTCCTATGACCTTAAAAAGATACTCTATATATCGTTCCCCATTCCTGATTTCCCAGAACAAGGGTTAGGACTTGTGTTTTAGACATGGTTAAAGGGGTTAAATTAAAAAAGATGCATTCTGAAGTGTAAGTGGATAGACAGCAATTACCTTCTGCTGTTTGATACGGGGCTCGCAGTGTGGATCCTCTGCCTTTTGTATAGCAAACCACAAGCACATCACCTTGTTAGATCTGAACCAGGGGGTAACATCCTTGTCAGCTCATCAGTAATTCTAACAGATGAAATGCTGTTGTTTCACTGTCAGTGGGCTTTGCTTTACTCTTTGGAAGACAATAAAAATCTTCATAAATGTAGTGTTAGACAGGAATAGAGCCCTGAGCTTCTGAATGCTAGTTCTTAGCTAGAATCACACACTCGGAAATTTAGAAAAAAAAGTCATCTCTTCTGTTATCCTGATCTGTTAAAAGGTATTTTCCAATTATACTCTACTACCTAAGCCCTATCCCTACTTATTTTTGTTGGTTTGATTCACAAAAATAATATTTAAAGTTTTGTAGTTGTATTTAGTCATATCCATCCCACCAATTGTTCCAATCCTCCAGCTCCACTCTGCATGTACCCTGTCCTTTGGTCTTTCCAACAGCCTCTTGCTTTCCCTCACCTTTGTTCTGTAGAGCTTTTTGTTTCTTTGGGCAAAGACACCTCAGTTCCCCTCGCTTCAGAATTTTTTCCCCAAATTCATTAGTGTTCCTAATTTTAGCATGGGAAACTTGTATCTGTAGTATTGCGTTAACCACCTACTTTAAAGGTAGTACAGAAGCTATGCAGTCTAAACTCTTTCTAATGTTCAGTAAATGTTAGCCTTTTTCTCTCCTTTCTCTTTATTCTGGCTTTCTCACTTCACCTTTGTCTATGAGATTCTGATGGTTTTTATTTCTATTTTTTTTAATTAACCTTTTTTTTTAAAAAAAAAAAAGGGGTGTGTGTGTGTTATTGTGTTGCTACCTACACAATTTACAGCTTATTTCAAAGCAACTAGGACAGATACAGCATACTGTTGAAGATTTGTACAGGAAATCAGAAGAATGACGAAACTGGCTCTCACCAAATTGTACATGCTCACAGTCTAAAATGACTCGTGGCAAAGCAATACCAAGACAATTGCTGAATTTTCAGTAGAAAGCATACTGGGCGTATCCCTCCCAAAACAGGCTGCAACAGCTATAAAAAAAGCTTTGTCTTGGTGAACATTCAGTTACTACAAATGTAAAAGGAATTAGATACGAGAAAATATAATTATTTTTTTTCCAAGACTGATACAAAAACCTATGAGTAAGAGCAATATAATGGAAGAATTTCTGTGTAATGTATACTGGACAGGCTAATATACCAAGTGGTGAACAGGGAAAGGAGTTGTGTTGAATAGTGAGAACTGTATTTGGTGTTGCTCAAATTAGAAATGTGTGTCTATTTCTTTAGCACATAAAACCAGAATGAGCTTTTTAAGAAGACAGGAATATGCACTTATAATACAACTTCTGTTTCATTTTGATAGAATTCCTTCTATTGTTAATCAGCAAGCATTATACAAACTAATTTTTATTTATGTCAAACTCAATAGCACAAGAAAGAGCATACCTGAGTTCCACAGTGTTTGGGGAAAGGGGGGAACTTTTACTGAACGACCCGAAAGTAAAAATCATCACATCAGCAAAACAAAACACCCCTATATCAAACAGGGACAGATGAGCAAATTAAAACATAGAGGAAGACAGATTCATACAATAGCAGGTAGCCAATCTTTTGGATTTTGGCTTCTAGACAGCTGAGGCAATAGAACTTTGAATTTTTCTCTCTAACTATAATTTAGCAATTTAATGACACCTTGAAACAGACTGATTAGATTTTGGGAAAATATGTATGTTCTGTATTTCCCAATTCAAAATTGCTTACAAATACAAACATGTTGGAAAAGAAGTCACATCTTAAAGTTATAGGCACCACTGATTTTTTAGTAAAAAGTCTTAGTCTTGTTCTGGTAAATATTTCCTGCAGGGCAGCAGATAATGAAAAAACATCACCTCCCCAAATAAAGAGGTTTTAGTTTGAATCAGACTAGTAACAAGATACTAGCAAGAGGGGTTTTACTAGCAAAGGAGTTTTAGTTTCAATCAGACTACTAACAAGATTCCTTTGTTCCACCCAGTAGTGTTTTATCTGTTAGGATAAGATGCTGCAGTTATGTGCTGTCACAGGGTTCACATTTCTGAAAAAGTCATGTTGGTCCCATTCCAAGGATGTATTTGGAATTATTTTCAAAGAGCTGGCCAGAACAAAAAAAACAAACAACAACAAAAAAAAAACCAAACCAAAAAAAAATCAACAAAATTCAAAAGAAAAGGTAGGACAAACAAATCAGTGAAGCTCCAAAAAGACCTGCAGTATTATTATGAAATTTGAGTAATTATGGACTATTAGCTACAATGTCTAATTTCTTAGAAAAGTCTTATTCCACTGCTAGCATCTTCCTGGTATTAGTTTTCAGAAGTCATTGCTAACTGTAAGAGCCTTACAGATTCATAGTACCTTTATTGATAAAGACTTTTGTCCCACTTTCCTCTCCTGCCTCCCAGTGAATTGCTCCCTTCAAACATATTTTGCTTTGGAAATTGTTTAGGGCTACTGTTGTGCTTAAAAAAAGACTCAGTTAAAAGTCGTCTATTTTTAGATCTACAGGTATTTTGCTTTGTCACCTCCTTAGTCTCTTCTCTGGTTCTTTCCCTCCAACTTCTGTGTTCTCTGCTGATTTACCAGATAACTGACAGATTTTCTAAACTTCTGTAATGTTCCACTCCAACAACTACCCCAAAACAAGTAAGATCCCAGCATTTAGTACTACACTCAGTGCTCCACAAGCAATTCTGCATTTTTATAGCCATATTACATTCACTGACAGTTAACATGGGACAAAAAGTGTTTGAGGTTTGTTTTTTAGCCCAAGAAGAATTGTTTATTACTAGGCAAGCTCTGAAGAATGACACAGGGCACTTTTCAATGCTAACAGGTACGAAAGCTCTTTTTACATGCTAGTTGCACATGTCAGCTTCTACATTTTGCAGCTGAAACCCATGTAGGTATGAAAAAGATACAGATCATCGAATTGTAGAATCACAGAATCATCTGGGTCACAAGGCACCTATTAAAGATCACCTAAGTCCACGCCCCTGCCATGGGCAGGGCCACCTTCCACTAGGACAGGTTGCTCAAAGCCATGTTCAACTTGACCATGAATACTTCCAGGAATGGGGCATCCACAAGTTCCCTGGGCAGCCTGTTCCAATGTCTCACCACCCTCATTGTAAAAAATGTCTTCCTTGTGTCCGGTCTAAATCTGCCCTCTTTCAGATTTAAAACTTTGACCAGGGCCTGTAGTGACAGGACAAAAGTCCCTCATTCTTATAAGCCCCGTTTAAGTACTGAAAGGCCACAATAAGGTCTCCTTGGAACCTTCTCTTCTCCAGGCTGAACAACCCCAACTCTCTCAGCCTGTCGTCATAGGAGAGGTGCTCCAGCCCTCTGATCGTGTTCATGGCCTTCCTCTGGACCCTCTCCAACAGGTCCATGTCTTTCCTGCGCTGAGGGCTCCAAAGCTGGACGCAGTACTCCAGGTGAGGTCTCACCAAAGCAGAGTAGAGGGGCAGAATCACGTCCCTCAACCTGCTGGCCATGCTTCTTTTGACGCAGCCCAGGGTACAGTTGGTCTTCCGGGCCACGAGTGCACATTGCCAGCTCACATCCAGCTTCTCATCTGCCAGTACCCCCAAGTCCTTCTCTGCAGGGCTGCACCCAATCCCTTCACCCCCCAGCCTCTATTGATGCCGGGCGTTGCCCTGACCCATGTGCAGGACCCTGCACTTAGCCTTGTTGAGCCTCACGATGTCTTTTACAGCGAGAGGAAATAATGACTGTTGACTTTTTATTTTTGAAATAGATCTCGATTTATCAACAGCAAGATGCTTTTGCACAAGCTGTCTCATTTTCAGTTTTGACTTGGTGAAACTTTTACCATTTGCACATTCATGCATTTGGATCTTGATAGTCATTAAACGAGGTCTCTTTAATTGAGAAAGTCTGCAGAAGTGAGAAATCAAACATAGAAATGCAAGAGTAAATTTTATTGAATGATGAAAAACTAATGGCATTACAGTTAGTTTCAGCTCTGCTGGAATGCTAGTTTTCTTGTTTTTCTGTGCAACAGAAAGTGCAACAAATCAATTATTTAGACCGTTAAACAAACTAGTAATATTTAATTTCTCTTCAAAAACTGCATAGTTGAGCAGTTGTGCAACAAATATATAAGTTTCTGGAAAACCCTGAAGAAAGATTTGATTTTTTTTTGCTTTGAATCTGGTGGCAGAGGACATCACCTGCACTGGTCAGATTCTGAGTGCCTTTTCCCTTTCTTCCCACTCTGTAAGAAAGGATTAAAATAAGCGTTTAGTTAATATACTAGACGTGACACTTCAATGTACAAAATAACTGCAGATATAAAGTAGTATAAATTAGTAAGAAAAAACTCAAGAGTTAAGTTGCATACTTTTGATAAATTATACAATTATTATGAAGTGCAAACTTGTCTGAACATGAAATATTATTATAATAATTAAAACAGTCAAGGCACTTATACGATACATAACTGAGCTGTTAACATCTAGGGCTAAAACCACACTAGTTTATTGCTATTTTGTTGGGGTTTTGTTTGGTTCTTTGTTTTTAATCCACAAATTCTGTTTACTTCTTTTTTTTGAAAGGTATCTGTGTGCTTCAAAGCGTAAAAAAAGTGGGCCTCATGTTATCAAAGACAATGCCACAAAAATTAATAGTATAAGAAGGGTTGTCCTGGTCAGCCTGCAAGATTTTCCTACAGGAGAGAATAATAAAAATAGAAACAACAATCCCTGCAAGGCAGATGAGGCAGTTTACCTAAAATGAAACACACTAAAAGAAAAACCCCAGTTAATTAAGTAAGAACCCAACCAGCCAAACAAAAAAAAACCCAAGGTGATGAATTAAGCAAGAAATAACAGCAAGATGTGAAAAGATAAAAGCATATTAGACTGATGAGAGAGCAGGGGAAAAGCAGCAACAGAACAGGTGATTTTGCAGTAACTCCTAAGCATGCAACAAAGACCACTTTTTGTCAATTTTTTACTGTTATTCTTTTAAGCCTATTTATTACCATTAACCACAAGATAAATTTATCTCATGTGAATGACTGAATTTGGCAAGATTCACTTTAGTTTCAATTAGTGGTATGAGCATTCAGCTTGTCTGTAAGGGACTGAACAAGCGTATCTATTTGTCAACTGCTGCAAGACAATTTTAAGAAGGAACTTGCTCACTTGCAGTAAAGTGACAAGGGGGGAAAAAAGACAACTGAAGAAGACAAGAGACTACATACAGAACCCATGTAATGCTAGCCAAAGAATTTGATGTAATCAGGAAGATCTGTTGCTTCAGAAAGAGTAAGTATGGCTTAATGACCCAGTTTTCACAAAATTATAGTATTCCAACACAAACAATGTGTTGCAACTTGAAATAAGATAGTTTGCCAGAGACTACACGGCTGCCTTAGAAGCTTCCATTATAAACTACACTCCCCTTGTAGCCTATGCAAAAGGTCGCAGTCAAAACAAACAAAAACCCCACAAAAAATAACAACCAAAAAAAACCCCAAATGTGTCAAGTCATGCAGAAGTACAAATCCTTATTTGCAAACACTGTCACTCCTAAAAAACATAGACAGAATGTTAAGCAGCATACTATTTATGAAAAAGTTAACTGAAATTCACCAACATGAGTTGCATTAGCAGCTAAGTTGAGCAAGACAGCATAAGCACAGTCAGCAAGACACTGATCTTATCACTCATATTTTGACACTACTTCTTGTCAATCTCCTACAAAGGTTTGGCTAGAGACAGAACTAAAATACAGAAGTAAAGAAAGAATATGGGAAAAAAAATCCATGAAGTGTACAGTTAGTCCAATTACACACAGTTAGACTTAGTGAAACCAACCTGTTGTTTAAAGTATGTTTATTGACTAGTATACTTCATGAAGTTTTACAGTACAAAACTTCAACTTGCCAAACCTGTGTTTTAGTTTTGCTACTTTTTTTTTTTCCCCTGCAATATGAACTGCTAATGTTTTCTTAATTCAAAAAATTAGAGCTAATAGGTCAGTTCAGAGCACATTACCTCATGATGGTCTCACCTACATCAAGAACAGGTAAACTTACAGAGAAAATAACTACCTGATATTTCGTTAATTCTGCCTGCAGTAGTTTCACTTTGGATCTTTCTTGCTCTAATGCAGCATGAAGTATAGTTACCTAAAGACATACAGAATATGAATTTATAAAATATCCTAAGGTCTGTGGTTTATCAAGTCAATGTTGTTCTCCATTAGCATTGTGTTGGACAAACAGGTAATACATGCCGAGTTCAAGAGTGACCACTGCTACCATTGTGCGTGAAATGAAAGTAAAAAATTCTTTAATAACCTTTGTTTCCCAAGAAACATTTACTGGTTTACCTGTATAATGACCAGTATAATATAACTGGTTTACCTGTATAATTTACCTGTATAATATAATTTCTATATATAGAAAAGCTATAAAGTTAGAAATTCTTCTGACTTTGTGACTCTGCATTAGTTTATTACATAAAACTCTTAACTGATGTAGTATTATGCAACACAGATAAGCTTATTATTTCACTGTCAAAAAATATTACTGTGTTACATGTAAGATGTTTGGACAAGTCAAGGGTCTGGAACTAACAGTCACTGTGGACCAAAAACTAAGCATAAAAGTATTGCATGCTGTCTACTGCAGTGACTTGCCAACTGGCATGTCTTAAGTAATCTGTAGCTCACTTGTGTTTGTAAACTTAAGACTAGAAATCAAAAGCCAAAAACATAAAAAACCCCACCAAACCCTAAAACCAACCAAAATCCACCCAGGAAAGAAGGTTCTTCTGAAGCACCTTTCTGAACTTCCTAGTTTGGGTTACCAAAGCATGAAATTACTAAGGTACTGTTCAGGACAAAATCATTTCAGGCATGCTGAGGTCTGCTGTCTTTCCAGAAAGAGTTCTAAGGGACTCACACTGGAGATTTACACAATACACACCTTCTGACTTGCATAAGCACAGGACTAAGGATGAAATGTAACATCTTTTGCTTCAAACAAGTTTTTGTTTCAGCTTCTTCCCTCCCCTGCCTCTATCACTGCCTTAAACAGCATCTTTGAAATATCCATGAAATTTTACATTTAGAAATCCTTGCTTACCTGTAAGGTCAATTCATTTTTGATAATTTGACATTCATCAACCTGTAGGAGTATTTCTGCTTTGTCTTTCACTACAGAGAGAAAAAGATATAGCATGAGATTTCTAGATTTACAGGTCTTCATCTGCAATAGCACTGTGACATCGCTCTTTTTTTTTTCCTCACTATTTTGTTACCTCTAATGCTGTCTTCACTAAAAGAACAGTAGACGTTGTAAATCAAAACCAACTATTAGCCACCAGTGCTATTAGCAGCAGCGTGAAAAGTTCTGAAGATTAAATGCCAACCTTGTACTACTTACCCCACACTTAACCCTGTAAGCAGCATGGATTTTAGAGATACCCATTGTGAACAAAGTCCATCAGAAAACTGAATATTGGCAATTGATCAAGATTTTAGGATCATGAGTTTCGCATACAAGCTCAGTCATAGTTATGGAAACTTGTATTTATTCAAATATGGAGATGTTTAAACTATTTAGCCAGTGTTTGTGAACTATCTGTGGATAACTTAAAATTCTCAATATGAAGAAATGAAGGTTTTTTTCAAGGTTCAATTCTGCCGTGAACTTTCTTCTTCCCAAAATACAGAATACTCAGTCTGTGGAAAAAAACCTAAATCGCTTGGTTTATAGTATGTTACTATTCCACAAACACCAAGAAAAGCCTTAGAACTTCAACTTTTTCCTCTCAAGATGAAAATATTTTCATCTTGGCTCAGAGACTGACCTGAAGTAATAAAGTTCCAAGTTAAAATTTGCAATGATCAGTCACATTATGAACACCTGAATTAGTCTAGACATATTTTTTGTAACCATATTTTAAATATCTAGGTCTTTTTTAGCTGAAAATTTAGCCTGGAGAAAACTACATGCAAGAACTTAGCTAAGAAATTGAAAAGCAAAGGCAATTTGGTAACAAGTTAGTGTTGCTAGGATAATAGACTCAAATAACTTCACGAAGCAAGATTAGGAATATTAAAGAATAACTGTGCATACCAAATATAAGGATACTAGGATATTTACATATATATGAATGTGTGTATATATATATAATTTTCCCCCAAAATTTTGATAATAAACTCTGAATCAAAAACTATGAATACTGTTATAACATAAGAAAATTATCTCACAGTTCCATATACAATCCTATGTTTTAGCTACCCCTATTCATTGTGTGGCAAAAGACTTGCTTAGGTGTAGAATGATGTTTCCAACAGTTCAAAGCACAGCTTGCAAAGACGGAAGAACCGACCAGATTCTTCAGGTGTGTCTAAACAGATATTCTGATCAGATCAGTCCAGAACAGACAGCTGTCACTAGCAAAAAAAAGTCTAACTCGAAGAATCATTGTAGCTAAACCGTAACTGAACAGTTTATATTTCCAAGAATGATCTCAACATGCAACTGATTGTTTCATTATATAATAAGAGAAATGCAGTATTGTGTGGTCCACCAAATTCTTCAGTTCACTGGAGTCACTGCAAATTAATAGCTTCTTAGTTCTTCATAGCTGTCATTGAGTTAAGATGTTATTAAAAAGCTGCTTTGAAAGTTCTTTCCACATTTTAAAAAGAACATTTAAGTTTCCTGATAAAACTCTTACTTACTTTCACCTTCATGCATCATCTTCAGAAGCTGTGCATTTCTTGCTTTTACTTCTTTATACTTTGCCTGTATTAAAGAGATTGAATTATTACATGTATACCCTACTGAAAAAAAAAGTATTCTATAAACTAAGCATGACTTAGAGTCAGACTTAAGAGTTTAGAATTATGACTTCTGCAGAGAATCTAATCATAGAATCACAGAATCATAGAATCATTTAGGTTGGAAAAAACCTTTAAGATCATCTATGTCTTAATTAAATCACAGCCAAACTAAGGAATATACAACAGAAGTGGATTAATAACCAAGCATCAAGTAAAAAAAGGCAAGCAGAAGGCTTAGAGCAAGTTAAAATAAGAAAATTATGTCAGTGCATTGATAGTGCGGTAACTGCCATTCAGGTCTGCCTGAAGTATATAGGCCTGTTGCACCAAGGGCTTTGAGGTTTCTCCCCTGAAAAATTACAGTATTATAATGCACTGTCTAGATACCAAGATAATATAAACAGTTTGCCATAATACTTGGCAAGCAGGACAAGACCCCACTGTTCTACAGATTATTTTATTCAGTAGTTATTGGTATTAGTATTACCCTTTCTTACCTTTTCAACTCTTTACAGTTTACTACACAAGAAACTATTTTTGCTGGGTTTTCCAGTCTATCTGATATCACCACACTTTCTTCATAAGTCAGTCTTTTCCTTAATTGGCCACTAATGTCAGTTCTAGCCATGTACTTTAGCTGTAAACTTACTTTTCCTGGCACAAATCTCTTCATAAACTTTTTTCAAGAGCCTACAAAGGCAAGCTGTAATTTCAGACATACTTTTTTTTGTCATAAAGAAGCTCTTATCTCCCACTGTGAGTATCACACCAGTCCTTGAGGATAATTAACTTACATTTAAGTCAGACCTTTCAGGGCCACCAAAAACCGTATTAAGGTCTCTAGACAAGTTCATAAATTATTAAGGTCTCTGGACAAGCTCATAAAATTAAACAGCTGTACCATTGTCCATCACCTCACTAGTATCCTTATGCATCATGTTTATTCAGTCCAATGTGACAAGTGCTGACAGTGGTCAATAACAATTGTTTCATACTTTAAAATTTCACCTTGGGATTCCTACTTTAGTTCACAGTTGAAACAGCTGTTAACAAAGTTCATGTTGTTATAACTAAAAATAAAAGTACTTATTTGAAGCATCAGAAAAATCCCAATCTGTCAACCTGCTCAATCTACTTTAAGCAATGAATAAAAATAGTACGAAAATAATTTAAAATAATTCTATGCTACTTTACTGTATTTTGTTACAATGGCAGCTCCTCGTGGAAATTTTGCCCTTTTTGCTCTAGATACTATCCAGACAATGCTAACATGGACAGAAAACAGGGAGACAATGACATTTTCCTTAGCTACTCCTGTATACAGCAATACCATGTAATTATTAACAAGTGAATCATTTTTCCTGGTGTGTTTTTAGCATGGGGTGAATTTGATTTCCAGTTTCACTTGTACATAATAGGAAAAGACACAACAAAATACAGGACTCCATTCTTGTTATACTGCAGCTTTTAAGGAGCTTCTCTTAAGCAGAACAAAAATATTCATTGATTTCTTTAATCCGTTTGAATATCAGACTGAATCTACAAAATATCTTAACAATATGTAGTTCTTAAATGCAAGAAAAGCTAAGTAGAATTTAAAAAAAAAATAGGTTGGAGAAGACCTAAGAAAGTCTGAATTACTGCTTAATCAGAGCTAACTTCCAAGGCAGATCAGATTGCTCAAGATCTTGCTTAGTCTTAAATTACACCTTTATTTTTTTGACCATCAAAACAGTAAGTGATATGCCAGATATGAAGTTTATTTCTGGATGCTTTGTCTTGATTCTCTTGATCATTTCTAGATGTTTAACTTATCAAGGAAGACCGCTTAATGTGGTACTGAAATAATAATTTCCTCCATAAACAGGTAATCTGTGGCTAGACTAAAGCATCTCTACGGACTGGTCACATTTTAATACTTTGTTTCAAATGTATAATAATGTTAAATTTTATCTACTGTTTGAAGGTATTATCAGCTACATACCTCCCACTGAGATATTATACTTTTCAGTTGCTCAATTTCTGCATCTTTCTTTTCAAGCTCAAGCTTTAGTCGTTCTGTTTTTCCGTCTTTCAAAACACTCTCCTATAAGCAAGAAAACATCACTTTTTAACAACTTCGTCATGTGGATTCAATTCTTGGGAAAGGCAACTTACTTGTTTGTTAGAGAAGAGAAATTTTCATCAAAACTAAAGAGGTATATGTGAATAGATACCAAAAGGACAAAATCCGCAGTAAAAAATATTGGCATTTTCTGTGGAGCAAAAAGTATTCCAACCACAAGTGTTAAGTGTTAAAAAAATAAGCCATTTAAATACCACTTCAGATAGATAAAAATATTAAGAGTGTTGTGGGTTTTTTAATTCTTTAAGATTATCATGCTTTTGGTTTGTGCTTTCTTCTATTCAGTTGCTCCCTTCTGATCATTGAATAAGCTTCATTAGGCAAACTTTTTCACTTCAGAATCACTTCTGTTTTACATGCCTGGTTGTGTTCACGAGATGTGCAGTTATCTGTTTCACTGTAATCAGTGACCCGGACTCTCTTTTTCTCTTTTTCAAGTATTCTGTGAACATCATCTTCCAGCCTGTTGAAAAATCCTCCATCATGCAATGAAGACTGGGAAGAGTTCAGTTCCTGTCAAAAGTAAGTACTGTAACATATCTTCCTTTACATATAAACTAATATTGAGCTAGAAGTCAGCATGTTAAAAAAATAGCTTAAGTCATACAAAAGCATTACATCTGGATATTATTTGATGTTGTACATCCTGAGAATACTGTGACTTCCACCTAGGGAATATCATACCAAGTGAAGAGCCTAGAAATTAACTATCAGTTAACATTTAGCTGCTGATGAGATTACACAAAAGCATGAAGTTGGAATTTAATAATTTTGCACTATGATTACATTAATTTATGTTTTATTTCACTGTTAACTATTCTTCCCTCTAAGAGTTTTAATATTTGTGGACTGCAGCACAACAAAGTGGCATCACAGTACCTTCTTATCTAATTTCCTTCTCTTTTTTGTACTACAATCTGTATTTTTTAATATGATTTTAAATCTGCCAGTTGCATCAAAAACTATCTGAAAACTAAATAAGCAAGAGGTAGTTCTAATAAAGCCAATACTAAGTTCTCAATATACAGGAACTGCAGACATACATCTCTATTAAGTCTATAAACATTTTCAAAATAGAAATCAGTCAGTTTCAGAATGTATAACTGTCACTACAGAAAGTGCTAAACTACCTTCCTTCTAAACATAAGAATTTTCGATTTTTTTATTAAACTAGCTTGAATAAGACTTACCTCATGTTTTTTAGCAGGGTTATCTGAAAAGAATTAAAAAAAAAATAAAATCAATAAGTTACTTAAATCTTGTACAGCTGGCTATTGAAATGCCATTTTGAGAAGTGGGGGGAAACCCCCATCTATTGGAGTTCTTCAATATTAACTCTCCTCTTAAAGTCACAATAAAAAAAAAGTCAGAAGCCAAGATTATAAACTATGTGTTACATCAGTTGCTGTATTTGCATCTTCTCCCAGATCTTTCAGACTATTTAATCAAAACCAGCATCATATATTCATTTGCTTCAGTTAAAGTGGAAGGCAACGCCTTTGGTACAGACACTAAGGAATTTGTTGGTTTGTTTCTTTTTAAGTCTATTTAGGCTTTTATAGCATGTATCTCACTGTATACCTGAATGCCTTCCATGCCTTCCAGATAGCTGTGCTTTCAATCTTTTTCCTGTATTCAGATTACTTGGAAATAATATTTTTATTAAATATTGTAGATTTAGATAAAAGCATCCTTAAAAGAAAAACCTTAGAATACAAATTACTCTCTTCCCTTTCTAGGATCTAACTTTATTTGTTCACTAAAATTCAGAATCTCTGCTCTGTAGACACATATGAAGGTCTTTTAAACATATAAATAAGACATATGAGTACATATATAACTTATTTCAATATTTACTTATCTTAATAAAAGCCAGTATCATGAAGAAAGGCAAACAATGACTTGCTATTACCCAGGAAACAGAGAAAACTCAGTTGCCTGAGGAGTGCAAACTGAGTAAAACAAAAAACCCCACTTAGATTTTAAAGAAAAGTCACATTAAGAGTGTTGAGTCCACCACCCACCCCAGGGACACTACATGAAAATATGTTTTCCTTAACCTCTTATTTTTTTTCTGCTAATCAAAGTAGCCCATTATTATACAATGAACACTTAGTTTTTAGACTCAGTAGGACACGCTGACTACAACTCATTTAACGTTTGTTTAAACACAGTATTATTGAACAGAGATAGAAGGGCATTTTGCTATTGGCACGCACACTATGAAAATTCCAAGTAGAACAGCTCATATGGTATGTTAAGGCATACCTATATTACTGTCAGACTGAAAGTCTTTCAGAGACACAGTGAGAGGTTTCTCTTTTCCTTGCTGGTTCTTTTTCTCTTTCTTATTCACAGACTTTGACTGAGGTGAAGTTTTTTCAACGTTTTCGTATTCCTAGAAGAATAAAGTCCCACTGGTATAATTTTCTTCAATACCCAAATATTTTTTCCTAAAGCTTCGAAAAAAAAAAAAAAATAGTGACAGTGTACTAAAGGAGATTTTAGCCTGACCAGTAATTTGTAGGCTTCAGACTGGTTTAAGGAGTGCAAGGCATATCAGCAACTAAGCATCAATTCTGTTCTCTGAAGTAGAGCACTGTTCTTCACTAAGCAGCAAATGAACTATTCGACTAGTATTTCCTCAGTCATCTACATCAAATTTTATCCAGAAACTGAGAATATTTGGTAGTCAAATGCAGGAAGGCAGAGTGCTACATAATGCAGGTTAGTACTTTCTTTGAAAAACATAAGTCCACTGTACCTTCTTTTTATTCTCAAAATATGCTTATTGATTCAGTAGAAGTCAGAGTGCTATTAGTATGCAGCAATGCTCTACCAATTGACCTTACTCCTATTGAAATCAGACAGCCTGGTACATGATAGCCATTTGAACCAGAGTCCCACCTCCCCACACATCTACATTAACATTCTTAGCAAATTATCAATGTCCCAGATGTTAAAAATAGTCTTAAATACTAATTAATTAAATACTTTAATTAAGATTTAAAAAAATCTTAAATGTTAAATAATCTTAAGAAAAAAACTGTTGTATAGAAAGCAGAGATGGAAATGAAGTGCTTTTCTTTCCACAGAAACAGTATTTGTTCAGCATACTCATGTGCTGTATACTTTGAATACACAGTATATATTTTAAATTATTTAGAGGTAATTCTCAAAAAGTCTACAAATGATGATATGCTACTATGCCTGAAGATTGTCGTCACTTTAAAAAAGAATTTTTAGTATGTAAGTTAAAAATTTATCCTTGGTTTTCGAGAAATATGGTACTCTCCCTCTCAAAAATTGAAGTATTGTACACAGATATTTGTACATAAGTGCACATGCAATTTTTACTTCTTCATGATGTATAATTATGTTTAAATTTACGTATTTTCATAACATGTCATTGGGTCCTGACTTATTGCAAATAAGATGCAACCTCCTGTTAGAAATAAAAATTTCATCTTTTTCAGCACAGTTCTTCAGTGCCGCTTAAGAGCCACTCAGAAAACAGCATCCTAACCAGCTAAGAAAGTGTATACAAGCTTATTAGAACTAAAATATTTACACTCAAAACAGAGAAAAGACATTAGCAAAAATGCAAGTGATTCAACCATAACTAACTATTAAGGCCTAAGGAGAAGTGAGTGCTTTGATTGTCTTACTCTTCAAGTGTGCTGAATTTTTTCTGAGGAAGGTCAGGATATCTTGTTGTACTCTTAAAAAAATTGCAGTGCATTTATATGCCAAGAAAAATTGAAAAAGCAAAACTAGTTTTCCACCTTTACAGGCCAATTAAAAAAACAAACCATCCAACATTATTATATATGGTTTCTTTCAAGTCCAATATTACTGTGAACTCCTAAGCATCTGAACAGTGCAAGCAAACAATTTAGGTGAAGAAAATGGTATTTTTTGGAGGATTTTTGCTTTCTTTTTAAAATTCAAGCCTCAAACTTGTACAGCTTTTGCAGTACAATGAATCCTGCAAATACCTTTCTGTGCTCTTCGTATTCCAGTTTGCTTAGCAGCAATGCTTTTTCAAGATCAGCTTCAAACATTTCAGATGTCAGCTGAAAAAACAACATATTTCATGCGACTAGGTTATTAAAAAAAAAAAAAAAGGCAGACAAAACCACTAAGACCACACTAAAATTTCAGTTTCAATACACATATCATTACAACTGCCAAATAGGTAAGTGTCCTGGTTTGAGGCAAAACAGAACCAATTTTGTTCAGTAATTTTGCTTCTTAGATGGACCTCTTCTAACTACTGAAATTAACAGCATATTGTGCAGACAGTGTTCACTCTCTCACAGTGATAAGACCAATGTTTATACTTGATGCCAAGAGATGGTATGCAGAGAGGCTCTTGCTTATACTTATCGCTATAACATCCACGGGCAGACAACTTTGTTATTTGCCCTGTTGGAGGGTCGGAAGCGGAAAAGAGCAGTGGGGTCCCACCTGTGGGGAGGAGCGGACAGGACAGGTGACCCAAAACTGACCAACAGAGTATTCCATCCCATCTGCCTCATGCTCCGTATAAAAGCTGAGGGATCAAAGGGTCAGCCCTCTTTCTTCAATGGCCGACATCTGAGGCTGGCATCTGAGAGATGACATCTCTGTTCATCTGCCTTTGATCCCGATCCTGAATGCAGATCTGGAATCCAGTTCCTGTCCATCACTGAGTCCAGCCTGGGACTTCCCCAGTGCCAGCTGGTGTTGTGATTGTCATCTCAGGAGCTTGATATGGTTTTGTATATATTTCATTATTTCTTTTTATTTTATTATTAATATTTCATTAAAGTAATTTAGTTCCTTCTAAACTCATACTTCTCTTTTTCCCTCCTCTGCCTCTCTCTTTGAAGACGGGTAGAGGGGAGCATATGTTGGTCCCATCTGGGGTCCCCCACATCCCCAGTAGCCGATTTGGCCTCAGCCACGACAGTAAGTTTCACTGATGTGACAGGTGGTGTTATTGACAGCTAATTTACCTTTTAGTACCATAATATCTTGCTTCAGGAAACTTTGTGATGCATGTAAGCATACAATAAGTTGTGCATATCTTTATGTAATACAGTTAACATCTTGACTTGTTTGCATGAGATTTCTTTAAAATTATTTTTTATTTTTAGTCTGAAACATGAAAACCAGAAGATTTTAAAGGATGAAAGTGGTCATTGTAGACCATCAGAAGCTCAGCCATTCCATAGAAAAGAATAGGTTAAGTGCACTTTATTTTTTTACTCCTTAAAAGGAGAGCAGAACTAAGAAAACTTGAATTATTTCAAGATATTTTCTCTTTCATTTCTAAGAAAAGGACGTATGTAAGTCTTCTTGGAAGATGCAAGAAAATTTGAAGCTTTCTAGGTGTATAGTATTTAGAAAAAGAACAGGAACAACACAACAGGAATGAGGGATGGGATAGCTCTCTTTTCTTTTGTTATAGGAAAATATGAAAGTGCAGAAAAGTACAGCTCCTGCTGCAGAGAAGGGTTGAAGGATTGAACTGAGAAGACCAGTACCAGCAATAGTTCAATGAAGCCAAAATAAAGAGTTATTTCTAGAGGATATAGATGCTATAGTTGAGGTAGATAGTGGATAATCTAAATGTATGAACAACTAATAAACTATGTTACTGTACAGCAAAGTTAACCAAGATTAAGTTGTTCTGAATGCAAAACTCTGTTCCATTGAGCTCTACTGTCTTAAGAAATCACTACAACCCCCTGTGTGATGTGTTGCCAAATGGAAGCCTTATGCTTGCTTCATCATAACTCTCTTTTGCATACCCTTAAGTGAAATATTAATTAGTAAAAATAATTACTTTAACCATCATTTTCTTGGTCTTTGAATTTCAAATTGAGGTCCTTTTCATTCATTCCAGGATAAACTACAATAGCTGTTAAAGTGAACAAATGACTTAAGTGGTCTTAATGCACTTCACTCAAACTGGGCTGTGTGACTTACGCTTGCTTTTTTGTCTACAGGAACCACATTCTGAAAAAAAAAAAACCTTGAAAGTTCTCATATGCTTTACATATGCCTAAAAGTGATTTATTATATGGTATAAAAGCACACGCATTCTTCCTAATTGTTTGTTCAACAGTCCATATGATCAGTCTTGCATAAGAAAAAAAACAGAGTGGTTTCTAGTTTTTACCACAGCAAATGAGCCCTTTTTGAGCAGTTATTTGAAACATAGTAAAATAGTGCTCTCAACATAAACTGCTACAAGATTTCATGCAGAGTTTGGGGCACTGTCATTCTTAGCTTTGCTTTTGGTTTGTGTTTCAGGCTTAGCATCAACTTACTGCATCACGGCTCACCGGCAAGTTTTTTGTAACAGGGGAGGTGGGGAAGAGCCAGGGACTCACCACAGCAGCCAGGCTGGAGGTGCCTTGGAACCCCGAAGGGCTGCAGGCACAGGTGGTGAGCAGTGGGGCAGGGACCACCTTCACCTTTTGTCACCTTTGGGGCAAACGGACCCCCATCTCCAGTACCGCCTGCAGCAAGGGGAGTGGAGAACAAAGAGGGGGAAGGAGGGGTTTTTGCAGTGGCCAGGGATGTTTTTTTTCTTAAGTGTTTGTTCTCTTTCAGTATCTGAATCGGTTATTAGAGGTTTGGTAACTGGCAATGAATTAAATTGACTGAAATGCCCCAAAAAAAAAAAAATCAATTAACTGTTTTTGCCCATAACTGTTGAATCCAATCTGACAATGATAGTTATCTACCAAAAAATAGGCCTTGTAGTCTAGCACACTAAAAACTCAACTATAACATAATGAAAAAGGAGAAAAAGGGGTTTAAAAAAAGACTACCAAACAGCAAATAATTAACACACAAAAATAAGGAAAACTCATAAGAAAGATGAACTTCAGATTTTTACCTTTATGTGTCTGAAAGTGCTAATTTAGTACACAAGCTCTTAGTACACAAGCTGTGTACTAAGAATAATTAAATAATAAGTAATTATACATAATGAGTAATGTACTAAAATAAATATTAAGAATTAGTACTACCACAATATTGTTATAACTATTAAACTGCACAAAAAAATTGCATTATGTGATCTCTGGTACAAAAATAACCCCATCATAATCTATTTACTAGCAGTCATTCAATTGAACACAAGACTGAGTGTTTGAAGATGGCTATACAAAGGTCACTACTTCTAAGTAGCAGCAAATTTGCGAGCTTTAGACCTGAATCTTCTCAAAGCCAGTCATCTCCCCCATAGTTTCCCAAGCACATTCAGTTCTACATAGCCTGACTGTCTCTGGATACGTAGCTATAGCCTCACTACCACTAAAACCTATAAAAAAAAATAATCTAGAAACCATGGGTTCCTTCGCTTAGGTACTGGGAGCGTGCAACCAATAGGCAAGCTCTGGAGTACACCTAATAGTCGTAAGAACTTAAGATCCATGCACAAGGCTCTTAAAATGAACTCTCTTAAAAGCTTTGCTGAAGAAAGACCATGCTATTTACATAACAGCTTCATAGTGAAGATAAATGTTGACAATCCTTTAACAGGAAAAGTGCCAGGCAGTGTGGTAATTTAGAAGGCAAATACGAAAAGAGGAACTCTTCATGAACTGGGAGATGTTCTTTGTGGAGCTGACCTCTGTGGAAGCACGGAGACACCGTTTCTCACCTAGTGCTGAATATCACCATCCCTTGCAGTACACCATTTAAAATTTACCTCTTAATTATCAGTTAACTGGACAATCAACTGGACAACTGGATAAGGGAAATTATGGAACCAGGAGGCTAGGATTTCACTCGTTCTGACTCTGAAGAATTCAAACTCATGTCTCTCCTCTCAGATAAATGTATACCAATTGCAGCTTAAACCTTCCTGCCAATCAGTTTCTCCAACTCAGAAGAAATGCTTTTGTTAAATCTTATGATACAATCAGCATGACTTTATGAAAAAACAACAAAGGGACAGCAGAACAGTTAAAAGCACTAATCGACATTTGATGCAACCTTGACTAAACAAGGCATTCTGTCAAACAAACCTTTCAAAAAAGTTGTCATAGATGTGGAATAATGCCATTTTGTTTGACAACTCTGCATTCTTAAGTCTGCTGACCTCACTTTGCAGCCTGGTCTTTCTCTTGCCCTGTCTTTCCTGTAACAAAAATCAGACTTTTCGTAACCTTCCAACAGTTCTCATTTTCATCTCAGAAGAATACCTTACCTCTTCTTCCTACTACAGGGACCTCCTGTAAGTTTTAACTACCATCTCTTGTTAATTTGAAGAGTTGTGCTATTGTGGACTTCAAGACAGTTTAACCGATTCTTCCTTTAACACATATCACACCAACATAAGCATGGCTTCTTTCTCTTTTCCTTTACCTTTTTTCTCTGTATCTGCCTTTAACATAACAACTTGTTCTTAGAAAGCTATTAGACCCTATCAAGTTTATATTCCTAAAGTGGTTGTAATGATATAAGCCGGTACATGAGCGCTTTAACACCCTCCACATAAGGCTTCATTCTCTGTCAGAATTCAAGATTCAATGGGCTGAGAGGAGCAGGACCTCTCTGCTAAATGGCTAAGACACTTGACTTGGGTAGGGTAATCCCTGCATACACATATGTGTACCATGCAACATCCCCCAATAAAAGTAAGGCAGATTTAGAGGGATGGACTGGTGCAGATGTAGATCACTCTGCAGTCATGCTTTTGGCAGTCATAGGAAGGGAAAAAGGAGGGCTTGGAGTATGAACATCCCAAGTTTTATTTCAAGCCATTTAACAATTAAACTACACAGAAGCCAGACAAGTGCCTGCCTGACCTCCTCTTGGCTTGTTTAGAGGACACAACTGCATGTGCCACTTTTAAACAAGCATGAGGAAAAACTACCTGCAGCCCTCAGAAATGTATCAGTTCGAGTCCCTGTGATCAGATCAACTAGACAGATTACTGCTCAGCAGATGTGCCTTTTCAGACCTACTCCAAACTGCAAGTACTGAACAAAGCAAATCTGCACCTTAAAAAGAAATTCTGAAGTTAATTAGCTCTGGAAATTTTCAAGAGGATTATTAGGTCATTACTCCACTGCTAGGACAGCCACCTAGAAGCTTGGAAAGTTAAGGACTTGGCTATACTCTGTTTAAGGAAACACCTGTAACAAAGCATTAGCAACACACACACAAAAAAAAATCAAGGACGGTATCCAAATGTCAGTCTTTCATCAACATGGCTTTCTGTATTGTGTCTTAACTAGAAGAAGAAGCAGTTCAATACACCTTTTTTGACATAAGTTGAAAATTTCTCTGTAAAAGAAAATAGCATCCTAATAGCTGCCAGCATAGAAGTTCAACAGCTTCATGAAGCACTTCCTAACTCCAGTTGCTGTCACTTATTAGCAATTTGCCTTGAAAAAGTTTGTGCAACGTTAAATACTCTGAAGAGAATCTTCAAGCATAACAAGACAGCCCAAACTATTATCCACAGTGAATGACTGCATAGCAGACATTTATTTAAAAAGGAGTCTAGGAAAAAAGTGTACTAAAACACTTCTTTAAACACCATCCAAAAAAATGCACTAAAAGAAATTCTTTCTTCATCCATCTATGCTATTTTGGCCTAAAATAGTTGAAGTACTGAAAACAATTCGTAACATTCATACAATTTAAAACGCTGTACAAGAAAATCACTATATATTCTTCAGTATCAAAAAGGAGTATTTTAAATGTTGAATTCAAACCAAGAACCAAAAAGGCTAGTTTTAACTGTAAATACTCCTAACTGACATTACAAGGACAGCAAACTATTGTATTTGTTCAATGTGAAGATTATTTTACTGTTTTGGACTGAATGCATTTTGCTGTGTAATTTCTCTTTGTGGTAGCTTTGACAAGAAGAAGCACAGTGAAAACATTATAGTGGCCTTCATGCAGGCATAGTCAGTCTTTGCTTTATCTCTATTGTATTCTTCAAGCATTAAATGAACCCTACTAACAACGTTATTACCAAAAAGATGTGCTAACATTAAAAAACAGAGGTTCTTACACTGATAGGACCACCCTCTTGTGTTAAAGAGTTCAAGTGTTCTTTGTTACCTCAAAAGGAACCAGTTATTTCATGCCTAACAGAACTTACCAAGCCCAGTTTGCTATGGATCCGTACTGTATATCCATATACTGCTCCACCAAAACATCCCCAGCTTTGCTTCCAGCACAGCATTTCACCATCCTTCCATGGTAGTACTTCTACTTGTTGTCCAAATAATATAAATTCCTCTTACCATATTCCAGTATTCACAGTCCAGCTATGAGATGTGCAAAGAGCAGCATGGGCTGGTTCTAAACTATATTTGACAGAAGATGTGGTCCGAATTTCCACTGAAACCTATCCTTCTATGTGGCAGTATTTTCATCCTTTCTCTTCAGCCATCTCTCTTTATCGATGAGACCTAACTTCATGGAGTAACGTATTTCAGGAAAGCCAAACGCAGCTAAATACAGTAAGCTGTACCTGCTCATCTCTTTTTCTCCACTCCTGCCAGTTTTCTTCCTGAGAGTCCTTCTGCATTGCAGTGTGCAGTTTTTGTTCATGCTGAGATAGACGGCCTCCATGTGAGGATTTCTGAGGAATCTTTTTAAAAGCAAGGTTTCTGAGCTGAAAAACATTTTTAACATGAATCAAAATGTTGACAAGTGTACAGAAACAGCCTTAGTGGACTAACAAAGACATTCATACACATGTGCAATAGACATGCATGTGCTCTACCTTACTCTGTAGTTTGGAATACATTTTTGTTTGATCATTTATGGTACACATCATACTGTAAAATTACAGAAAAACATGGATCACAAACACTACAGCCACATAACATAAAACAATGAAAAAGTAAATCTATTTTTCCAGCTGAAAATACTTTCAACAAATCTGAAGAAATAACTGTGTCTGACAGATTTCATGCTGGATTGGGTATTATGCTGTACTTACACCTGACCCAAACTAAATATAATGCCAAAGGAAAGGTGTTATACACAGATTTCGCATCCACAAACAGAGGAACTACAGGTTCAGGTAGAAAAAGAACAATGTATACAATCCTTACAGTTTTAAACAGTCTAAAGTTAGTCACCTTTTAAGAACCTGTAATAAGAATTATTTTTAATCACTGCACCACATAGATACAATAGTACCATCTTAAAAATACTTTACATGATTATAATATTTGATAGTGAACAAATAACCTACAAATTTGGCAGCTCAAAGACATTCACTGTCAAGCTTAAACATTAACTGACACTCTGGTCTTCTCTTGGAGTAAAAATAAAGGCATCAACACAATCTACTATCAATTTAGAGGCAGGGATTTCCTTAACATAAAGGCTCCTGGAAGGGAAAACGAAGCTATTATCAGATAAAGATGAAACAAAGTACAATAACAGTATCTTCCTCAACACGCGTTTATCGAGTGTCATGACTCCTTCTTAAAATGGGAGCTCAGCTTAGCTTAAAGTTACTTAAAATCAGACAGTAATGCAGATACTTGAGAATTGCTTTCCTTCCCCTCCAAACAGTCCCTTGCCATACTGCCTTTTGCTTTGCTACTGTCTCTCTTGCTGCCTGCACCAGCACTACAAGCCCTGCTATCTTCTTCAGATTACAGTGCTGGTAAGAACACTGGTGCAGACTGTTCTGATTTACAATTTCAGTGGAGTATAGCCATTGACATAGTACACACTGGGGTGAAGGAAGTGAGTCAGCCCTTACTTATTTTTGTGATTGCAAGGAGGCAAGTATCATTTCCATACAAATGAATTTCTGTAGATATATGCAGTGCATTTGCATACACACAATTATTTTGATGGCATTAGAAGTTTTGATTGTGCTAAGGCAGGCATAAAAAAACCACCAAGGTATGCTTATTGCAAACTTAATTTTCAATATAAAAAGAACAACAACAAAGCTGAAAGAAATCACTTTACTTACCATTACTGCAAATACTAAAGTTTCAAAGATTGAGTTTAATAGATGCTAAAAGAAAAGACAACAGGTTTGGGGGTTTTGTTTGTTTTACATACTAAATTTGATAAGAGATCTGTATAGTTTCAGGCAGAAACTGCCTGAATAGTTTCAGAAACTGTAACAATTCTTTCAGTCTGACTTCTTAATTTCCATTTCATCTGAAGTTTAAGAACCCCAATGTCTGAAAATCACCACTGTTCTTTACTCCACCCCCTGATTCACAGGGGAAAAAAAAAAAAAGGGGGGAGGGGGGGCTCTGGATTTAAGAGACTGAGGGGCTGGAGTGATGGATAAATCTAAAAATTACAACTTAGGAAACAAGATTTTAAATTTGTTCAGATAGTTAGACCTACCTACTCGGGGGGAGGGGGGGCTCTGGATTTGAAAGACTGAGGGGCTGGAGTGATGGATAAATCTAAAAATTACAACTTAGGAAACAAGATTTTAAATTTGTTCAGATAGTTAGACCTACCTACTCTACCTCCTAAAAAGAAAAAGAAACCTTAAAGCAACTTTGAACATGCTGACTGTCCAAGCAGGCACCTAGAACTGCCTACTTACAGACCTCTGAAAACAAGTTGTTTCCTATCAATCACTTTTTAGAAAGGTCTTGCCCCTCATCAGAAATTAATTATTCAAGTAGTACTGTCAAAAAATGAAATCTAGCAATTTATTCTCATCTAAAATTTTCAACTTGTATAGTAGGGAGTACACTACTTTTATATAAAGAATTCTTAATAAAGCAAATTAAAAAAAGGCAGTCTCTGTGACTAAGTAGCATTTGCTTCATAAAAACACAAACCAAGGACACGTTAGGGACAGCAAGAATTACTTATCAGATAACATCCTTACCCACTACTGAAAATATAATCCCTTTACCTCATTGGCCTCACTCTGGTGCTGTTCTTTCTTTTTTCTCCTTTTCTTTCTCTTTTTCTCATTTGTAGATGATCTTGCCCCTGAAGCCTGAGATTTACTAGCACCTTGGCCACTTCTTCCTTTTCCAGGCTCCAAATCAGTATCACTTTCAACTTGTAGTAAAGCAAAACGAGATGCAGTGGTAGGAACTGAACTGATTACAGCAGATGCCATTGCCACATACAATATTCTACTGAGCTGGCTTCTTTTTAGTTATTAGGTTTCCTAGGAAAGTAGCACAGAAATAAGAATGAAAGCAGTGTTTAACGAAACAAACAATAATTCATACCTGTTAGCTGCAGGATTAGTATTAAAAAAACCACCTCAGTATTATTTCTTTATATTTTTACTAAGCTGTATTATCTAAAGTATTTGAATAATCTATAAAACAGTACTTATTTCAGGCTAATATGTTTGTTCCTGAGAGATTATGTTTGATGGAAAAACAAGTAGAAGGTTCTGAAAGAAGTTGGCCTTCACGATGTGAAGGAGAAAAAGGAGAAAAAAAAAAAAAACAAAAACACAGAAATAGTGCAGTGCTCCAGAACTATTTTAGATGCCATCCCTGGAGCCTGACAAACATATGGTTTGACAAAGAAAGCAAGTAGATATTATGCATGTGTAGGCTTCAGTTTTGGGTAAGCAGCCTTATTTCACAAGTAGTATCATTTTGTTCCCAAGCCACTGGAGATTCAACAAACAGTTTTCTCCACAGGAAGGTGAGCCCAGCATTGTGGCTAGTACTGTTCTCAAACATTAGGCTTACCTGTTCTTTCAGCACAACACAGAGGATATGTTGGGGGGAGGCAGAACTGGGAAACACACTTAGGCCTTTCATTGCCCCCTGTAGCTAGAACCAATGTGTGAATCCCCATGACACCACTCCAAAGTACAAATGTACAAATCATTTAGCTAGTGTAAAAGTTAAATTTTTGGCATAAGAATATTTGGCTAATTGCAATTTTTCCATGCAAACTTTAGTGAATTAGGAGAAGATTTAAAGTGATGTTATTTCATCAGTAATTATTTTCATATAAAACATCTAGCTATGTTGATGTACTATGATAGATAGATGTAGCAAAATAATAGGTACTTTTTGAAAGTGGCTTGAAAGGAATCCTCAGAGTCTGGAAACCGTGAAAGGAATCCTCAGAGTCTGGAAATCGTGAACGTAAGTTGAATGTCTGCTTAGATAGTCTACAAATGTGTTGCTTGTTAACTACTATTACAGTAGAACATAAGAATCTACAGAAATTTAAAGAGATTGTTTATATCACTTAATTTCAGAGTTCCTCAAGGACAAACCTGTATAGATGCTCTAAAGATGCTCAGACAGATCAACACAAAACAATGCTATGTTACCAATGCTATGGTAAATGGTCACCATTGTGACCATCACCTCAAAAAAATATTAAAAAGGAGTATTACATTTTATTTCTCAGAGGTGAAAGAGAATGAGCAAGTAAGTTAATACTGTCCTTATTCAAGTTTACCAAAGACAAAGGTTACAGCGAACAGCATTCTTCTCGTACAAAAGTTACCCTACTCTATTTCTCTCAAAAAAGGAAAATGAAGCTGATCATATGAAGCTGGTTGTATCCTAAGGATCAAACAAACTTGATATCAAATTGTGAATTCACCTGAAGCTGATGTTCAGACTCTCTGATCAGACCACAATCTAATCAGTCACATCTAAACCACCGTAAGTAATTAGTACTTGTTACTATCTTTCACTGATTAAATAACAGGGTAAGTTTGGATTTTCCTGGGTTTGTGTGTGGTGTTAAATGCATTTCAGCACTCAATAACTATAGTTACTCTGCTTAGGAGCTTAGTTACAGCAGAGAGATACTGTGCTCTTACTAGTTAAACATGCAATAAGTTAAAATCTGAAACTTGGAGAAAAGGTTAAAGATACATCTTCATAGAAAAACGGCACCAAAGATAAGTGCTCAGTCACACTTCACAATGCACTTTCAATACTGGATGGTGCTCTTGGCGCTACACCAGACTACAACAGTCTTAACACTGGAAGTTTGTAAACTCTCTACTGTATTTGGCTTAAAAAACAATTAGTGCATAGGTTCCATTTCACCTCAAACCAGGACAGTGCACTACAGGATGACTCTAGTCTGTCAAAAACTTGGCATTTCTAGTCTCTGTCTAATTACTGTAATATATTTGGGTTTTCATATAAATAGATAAGCAGCACAACATAGTCTTTTTTAAGTTCTCAGGTGCTAATGGTGCCAAATACTTTTTTGCCCATGCAATTTGAGAACATTTCATATTTTCAAGCTGCGTTGATAGCTGCTAGATTCTTTGAAATACAATTTAAGAGAAAACATTATCAAGATACAGTTATTAGTCCCTCTACAACAGAGATAAAGAAAGATGAAAAGAGGTGGGACTCAGCCATAGCAGCTGAAGCTCTACATCACTATGAAATATGGCTGCAAACTCCTCTCTCCCTTTTCAACAAATACACCAAAAATACAACAGGTTTACTTTTGCTGTCTGGCTGTAGTTGGCATGCAATTAAGTACCCAACTGACAAGCATATTAAGCAAGTACTACCCATGGAAATCTGCTGTTATGATTCACTGAAACACTTCAGTAACAACATTAAATAAATTTATGGAAGTTTATTCCTGAAATACATTCATTCCCACAGAACAGAAAAAAAATGGATAGTAATGAGCTTGTAGAAGAAACTGCAAATAACTGAAAAATAACCTATAGTTTCATGTAAATCTAGCAGAGCTGTTACCATTGGTAATTCAGTTAGTAGGACATTTCAATACAGCTATTCATATTACAGCAGGATCTAATCACCCCACTACTACAACACTTAAAAGACAGACCCAGTGATTCACTGGGGCCTACCACCATGCCATACTTCACATTTTAATACCACACCTATAATTCTGACAGCCAAATTCTACCAAATAATATTGGGGTCAGTACTGGGACTGGCACTGTTTAACATCTTTGTTGGCAACATGGACAGCAGGACTGAGTGCACTTTCAGCAACTTTGCTGATGACACCAAGCTGTGCAGTACAGTCGACACACTGGAGCAAAGGGATGCCATCCAGAGGGACCTGGACAGGCTTGAGAGGTGGGCCCATGCAAAACTCATGCAGTTCAACAAGACCAAATGCAAGGTCCTACACCTGGGTCAGGGCAACCGAGCACAAATACAGGCTGGGCAGAGAATGAATTGAGAGCAACCTTGAGGAGAAGGACCCGGGGGTGTTGGTTGATGAGAAGCTCAACATGAGCCAGCAATGTGCGTTTGCAGCCTGGAAAGCCAACTGCATCCTGGGCTGCATCAAAAGAAGCGTGGCCAGCAGGTTGGGGGAGGTGATTCTGCCCCTCTACTCTGCACTGGTTATACCCCACCTGGAGTACTGCATCCAGCTCTGAAGCCCCCAACGTAAGATGGACATGGACCTGTTGGAACGAGTTCAGAGAGCCACGAAGATGAGAGGACTGGAGCACCTCTCCTATGAAGATAGGCTGAGGCAATTGGGGTTGTTCAGCACAGAGAAGACAAGGCTCTGGGGGGATGTTTAGCAGCCTTCCAGTACCTAAAGGGGGCCTACAGGAAAGATGGGGAGGGACCCTTTATCAGGGATGGTAGTGATAGGACAAGGGGGAATAGTTTTAAACTGAGAGAGGGTAGATTTAGAATAGATATTACAAAGAAATTCTTTACTTTAGGGCTGATGAGACATTAGAATAGGTTGCCCAGGGAAGCTGTGGATGCCCCATCCCTGAAAGTATTCAAGGCCAGGTTGGATGGGACTCTGAGCAAACTGGTCCAACGGAAGGTGTCCCTGCCTGTGGCAGGGGATTGGAACTAGATGATCTTTAAGGCCACCACCAATTCTAAGCATTCTATTTCAATTCCAAGATTTCACTCTCTTCCCCATAGGAAACCAAAGGGCTGACCTCAAAAGCTTTCAGCTAAGCATAGATGCTTGCCACCCCTTTTACAAGGTTTTCTTTTTTTCCTTTAACAGAGAATTATAATTTGTGTTGTTCTGTATTATTATAGCTACGAACAGTCTTACAAAATTAAAGTATTGACATTCTTGAGTTTGAGGCTGTGCTCAAAGAGGCTTTTTGTCACACAAAAAAACCCTTTTGAATACCACAGAGCAATTTGTAATTCCTCAGATCAAACTGGGTTCTGAAAAATCATTTCAACCTTTACAGTGGTTTCAAGAGTTTAGCAGTCTGAGAAGTGTTAGGTATTCAAAACAGTCAGTTGGCCAAAGCCTACCTAAATGCAAGACAATTCCTTTCCTTACGATATGGAGTACAGCAAAAACCTTCAGGAATTGTAAAATGAAACAAAGTGTACTTGTGGCATCTACACAGCTTATTAATACCTCAAGTGAGGCCACTAGTTAAAGTCCAACAACCAAACATCAGTACTTGCAGTTGTTTCCATGTGTCACGCACTAGCACTAGTCATACACTTCCGAGAAGACTTTCTCTAATGTACCGAGAAAGTTATTAACCCTCCATTTTTAAGTCAATGAAAAGATCACTGGTAACAGATTTCAAAGTTGCAAATCACTATGGCACCAATACACAGGTGGCACCAACAAATGACCCAGTTTCAAAACTTTCTGCTTTACAAGTCACTAGCAGGCTGTCAGTTCAACTGTCTCTGCAATCTGTTTCAAACAATAGAGTTTGTAAGAAGAGTTCCTACAATGACATATTATTCAGACTGATATATCTACAACATAAGGTAAGCATGATACACAATATAATTTCAAGGCAACATAAAAACACTTGTTATGCCTAGCAAGTAGTAATTGTTTTGGTGCTGTACTCATTCCTAGGTCATACTCTTCTATAAACCATGTCAGCCTACATGAACAGATTATTTGAGAATTTGACACTAAATCAATAGATTGTAACAAGTTGGTCCCATTTATGAAACATGTAATGTATTACTCATCCAATACAATCACGCGTAAGCACAAAGTGCTTACTCTACCTTAAGTTCTTGGTAAACAAGAAAACTCATTTAGAAAGTTAAATTGTGACATGACTGAAAAGAAAAGATATCTTTCAAACTTCAGTTCCCTGAAGTGGACTAAGTATATTCAGAAACATAAGATCCATTAATGCCCTGAAGAGCTTCAGTCTTGTTTTAGACATGAGGTAACAAAGATTGCAGTGACAGAAGTAACACACTCATCTGGTGTTACCATAACTTGAAATGCCTTTTACATCAGTTACTTTCATTTACCTACATGTTGTAGGTGAAACAGCCTTTGAAATACTTTGAAGTTTTAAAAGCTCTACTGTAAACTGCCCAATATGTATCCTAAGAAGAATTTAGCATACATCCGCAAGCTTATTTTATTTGAGCATCAGCAGCTTCCTGGCCTGTGTTCATCTTTGCATATGTGCACGAATTACCATTTAACTGGCAAGTGTTCAAGCACCTCTAAGAAGTGAGCAATTTAGGAACCTCTACTCTGATGCTAGTAGTATGCTTTTAAGCATCTGTGAAATAACTACATGGTAAAGCCCCACATTTAAAGCTATTTCAAGGAAAACATGCTGAAGAGCCCCCAAACACAACCAATTACGTATTCAACCACTGCCATCATCAAATGAACCACTAAAAAAGATGCAGATTTTAGAGAACTTTGAAAGTAGGGTATTGTCATGCTAAAGGCTCTTCTCTTATAAAATCTACATTTCTACCACTAGAAGACATATTTATGATAATCTACTGTCAATACACATTTTTAGCAAATACCTGAAGTATTGACTGATTTCAGTACTTGCTTGTAAAACTGAAATAACACTAAAATAGACATTTGTAAACGAAGGAACATGTCTGTTCCCTATTAGCACTGATCAACCTTCGCACCTTCTGCATATTACATATTGATCTTTGCCTGTTTATACATTTACCAGAGCAAGCACAATCTACTTGTCCTTATAGGTGCGTCTACAGGGAGTTTTGCACAGGAGGTCCTCCCAGGTGGAAAAGCTCTCTCCATTTAAATTGATTTTGATTTATGCCATCTGATCAAAAGCTATAAAGTTGCATTAAACTGCTCTGAATCCTTAAAATTACTTAAAGTCATCAGTCAGTTTCACAAGTAACTTTACAGCCAAAAAAAAAAACCAAACCAAAACTGGTTCAGAAATCTGCTTGAAAGTTGCCGCACTGGCGTACACGGCAGCAATAAACCCACAGAAAATAAAGGGCCTTGAATGGTTTGAAAGGGGAATACAGTGAATTTATTGCTGTGCTTTGGAAGAATTAGTCGTTTTGAGGAAGAAAGCTTTCTAAAACATTTTTTAAACTCAGGATTAAAATATAAAAGCAAGCAGGCAAGTCCGACTTTAGTTTGAGCACAGGATGCTGACTGACAGTGTAACCTCCCTTGCTTTTCTTCCCGTGATTTCCATCCCCCCACTGAAAAAAAAAAAAAAAAATTAGTCAAGCTTTAAAGTTAGCAACTTTTATCTAACAGACTTTGAAATTCATGCTCAATTTACTGTCTGTGACTAACGCAACAAAAAACACTACCATTTTTACATACCAATACGTACAAGTAGCCTTAAAAAAACAAATAACCAGTGATCAGTAAATACTACACCCCAATGGCGTTTTGGCTTCTAATTACGGT